TGACATGTTATCTGTGGTATCTTACCATTTTTATGTAAAAAAATTTATAATTTCTAGACAGTTTGGTGAAAGATGCCACCATATCTATCAATTGATGCATTTGGGGCCCAGATGGATCTATACTTGGTACATCTAAATGCTTTATTTTCAAGCATTGGAGTTTTTTTGTTTTTCTTTAAATTCCTTCTTAGGAATTGTGTTTTATTTCTTATCTTACATATTCTCTTTCATAGGTGTTGCTTTCTCAAGAACATTGTTCAGATATTTACTTACAATAGCAGGAGACTTAAGACAACATTTGGAAGTAAGCTCTATTATATATTCGATTTTTTCTAATAATGAGACCAATGTTCAAGTACCTGATGACTTTTCCCCTGTTCCAGATTGATGCTCATGTTGGTGGTGTTAATGATATTGCCTTTGCTCATCCTAATAAGCAACTTTGTATTGTCACATGTGGTGATGACAAGACAATTAAGGTATAATTGTAATAAGATTTTAGGGTGTTTTAAGTGAAGTTTTCTTATGTATCTCTGTGTAATAGGTGTGGGATGCTGTAACTGGACGCGGGCAATATATATTTGAAGGCCATGAAACTCTTGTATAGTCTGTCTGACCCATTATAAGGAGAATATTCAGGTGAATAATTCTGATACTTGAGAGCCAACTGCTTTCCGTTTCCTTATCAGTTCTTTGGTGTCACAAGAACGATTTTTTTGGCACGTCTTCGCTGATATGGTAAAGGAAGGTTCAAAGCGCTTAGTCCCTTGGTAGTTTCACTCGTGATCTATTTTATCTCTGTCTGCAGTTTATTTTTTCCACTGCCATTGATGGGAAAATTAAAGCATGGCTCTATGATTTCTTAGAATCAAGAGTGGTTTATGATGCCCCTGGACTTTGGTGCACTGCAATGGCATATAGCGCTAATGGAACCAGGTCTTACTTTTCTCAAAACCCAGCTCTGACTAGTGCCTTCTTATTCTTTTGTCTTCTTCACTTGAATTATATGGGTATTTATGGGAATGTCTTTGATTCTCTATACATACATTTGATTTATTGGGTGTGTTAAAGTCTAATGCTTTGTTGTATCATTGCAGAGCCAACATGATGAGTTGGAGGCAAAGTTTTTCGAGGAGAGAGCAGCCTTTGAAGCTAAATCGAGGAGAAAGCAGCCTTTGAAGCTAAATACTAGAGCACACTTCATATTTTTTTTTTTTTTGTTACAATGAGAAAATATTAGCAATTTTTTATTTTTATTTTTTTTGTATTGAGTTAACATACTGTGTTTTAAGATTTTTGTTTTTGGTTACGGAAAATTGGAAAATGAATACTGGTTCATATTATGTATAAATTTTGAAAATGGTGATAGATTATAGGTTTGTTTGTTTGTTTGTTTTATTTTATTTTTTTTCTTTTGTGAGGAAAAATGTTTGCTTTGAACAAATGTCAAAAATATCATTAATTATGATTTTTTTTTTAAAAAAAAAGAAAAAAGGAAAGGTGGCGTTTTTCATAAAAACGCCGCAAAATGTCGTATGATTACATCATAGTTAACTCTTCTGACAGAAATAGTTGACAGATGTTAAGAATTAGTAGCACTTTAAAAAATGCCATCTAAAATCTATAGTGGCGTTTTCAAAACGTCACAAAGATATGATGGCTATCTTATCAGCAATGAATTTTTTAAACGTTGCCTTATCATTTTGCGGCATTTTTTTTGGCTTTTTGCAGCGTTTTAAAAATGCTGCTAATTCCCAATTTTCCTACAATGTCATCAATTAACTTTCTATTTTTTGCCGATCAAAAAAAAAATTGAGATTCTAAATGGCATTCTATCACAAGTTATATACCCGTACCTTGTCAAAAATATAACTATGGTGGTTATAATATTGTATTTTGTGTCATTGAGGTTATCAAAAATTTAATTTTGCTAATTTTATTTGTAAATTTTTTAATTTGAGTGAAATTGGTTTAATTTCAAATGACTCTAAATCATTAATGGAATACATCTATTGTCCTGAAGGATGTGTCTGTGTCACTGTGTGGTTCTTAGAGTTTTTCAGTGCAACCAATTTCATCTCTAGAACGTTGTAAGTTATGCTTTATCTTCTTTAATTATCATTTCATCAATAATTTTAATGGCCCATTTGAAATTGGATTAAATTAAATTCAAAATTTTAAGAAAGAAATTATCAAATTAAAACTTGAAAAAGGACGATAGTGACATAGAACACTATTTCTAAGGAGCATAGGTCATGTTTGATCCAAAAAAAAAAAAAAGGCGCATAGGTCATGTGGAGATTTTATGTTGAATCTTTATCTTTCTTTTCAATCATTTTGAAATTAATCAGATTTTTCTTTGTCCGAGTATCAATATTCCAATCCAGGTGGAAGTTTGTTGCCTAAACAAGTACATGGTTTTGATGCAGAATCAGCTCATGGACTGGAAGTGGCAGAGATAGAGTTCTCTGGTGATGAGAATGAGGTGGAGTTAATTAAGTACTAGCTCAAACATTCCAAATCATTGAAGAAAATGGCCATATTTTATTCACCTCATCAAGACATTTCCAACTCAGTCGAGATTACTGGCAAAAAGGTAGAAGCTTTCACCAATGCGTCCTCTATTTTTGGTGTTTATTTCTTCCTCGCTGAACTCTTTTGTTTTTTTGTTTTTTTATGGATATCTTTTATGAAATTGTTTACAGTTACCTCTTAGGATATTGATCTATCTTGGTACACAGTTGGAATAAAAGTCATACTCTTTTGATATCAATATTGATTTATTTTGATACACAGTTGCATTAACTGGTTTCTTATATGTTGTTCACGAACCAATTCACAACCGATGCATCTGGCCCCTTCAGCTGTTAACAAAGTTTTTATTTTTTATTTTTTTTATTTCTTTGCTTCTGATATTTTTAAAAAATTACAATGGTACTCGATTTTCAATATATATTACTTGATATTCTCGATATTACTGCACCACGGTCAATACCAATTCGTCTCCCAACGCTACTATTTCAAACCTTAGTTATTGTGAGGACATAATTTTAAGTTGTCCATGTGGCCTAGGTAGTTAGCTGAAGTGCCACATGGATGCATCTCGTTTGCCGAGGTGTGGTTAGACCATACCTGTATCCGAGATAATTGGATGAGGACAAGAGTCTTACATCATGACAGACTCTCTATTTGAATAAGTGAGGACTCTTGAGAGAGTTGATCTTAATCTGAATTAGAAGAGTTCATGATAAGTGTTATCCCTAAAAGGGATGGAGTCCTACAAAGTAAGAATTAATTACTATATAAAGAACCCCATGGATCTAAGGTGCGCTTTAATCAGCCGATATCTTTGAGAGATAGATTATTGACTTGATCATCATAGAGCCTCCTGATGTACGAGCTATCGGTCTTTTTGTCTTCTTGTATGTAGGTGTTGAGTTTTTCTATTATTGCACTGATCTGGCTGCGAGGTCATATTTCAACACCCACAGTTATGATGAATAATATAACAACTTTAAAGTCATGCCAAATCAATGACTCTAAAATCTGATGTTTTTTTTTTTTGAACATAAAAATTCAAAAATTTACCAAATACACTAAAATCTGATGTTCCTAAACAAAATTATGACTAATTTTAAAATTTTCATAAATGGAAAAAATGAATTTGGAGATCCAAATGATTGAACTAGCCCCAAAACTGGTCAGGTTACATTAGATAAGTGTGACTTGCTCTTTGAATGGTTTACAAAAGCCTGGGCAATGGGCCCGGCTGGGCTAGCACAATCTGAAAATTTTAGGCTTACACTGTCACACCCAGAACTCGCCCCTAAAAGTTTGGGCATGACCACCTCAGAAAAACGAACATAAAACCTGATGAATATGATCTACGGGGCCTGAACGGAAGCTTTTAATAGTATATAATAGCAAACAAAAATAATAATAATTATAACAATATATCCATTGAGCTACCACTACCATGCCAGGATCACAAACAGAACATAATGCAGTTAAATATACAGTGACGTGCACCTGAAGATAACTATGTACATATACATATACGCCGATCTTAACAGACATTGAGGGTACAAATTAAAACTAGCAAAACTCGACAACTTGAACAATCAACATCTAAGGGCTTAGATACTCAGGGTTTGACAACTGGGTAACAAAAGCCACGAGTGAAGGTTGATCTCCAGGTTGAGTGCCTGCAGAAACAAACATAAAATAGAGTGAGTCAAGCTCAGTGAATAATAATACATAACAATTCAATGGTCAACGTGAATTAATCCATATCCGTGTGTTTATCAATAAAGAGAACATATGGTTTATTTGTTTCTGTATGCATAGCTAAGTATCTTTTTCAGAAAACTTGTCATATCTTGAACATTCGGGGTTCCATAGTGCATCTAGGCATTTTGGGGAAAATTATCCGGCAAGCATATCATATTATAAACATATCATAAGTTCATAGCATTTTTCTCATTTTAGAAATTACTTATCATATGAAACATTTCGTAACTCCAAAAACGGATTTCATCAAAGTCATTTATATTTTAAGTATCTTTTACGGAACGGCCTTGAGCCTAATCTTGAGCACAATGGCTTTAAGCCCTTAACAGAATGGCTTGAAATCCTTAACAAAATGGCATGAAGCTCTTATCAAAACGGCATAAAGCCCTTGAAACACATTGGCATTAAAGCCCTGAAACATATGGCATAAAAGCCCTTGGAACATCTGGCACAATAGCCCCTTGAAGCATGATGGCATAAAGCCCTTGTGATGGCATAAAGCCCTTGTGATGGCATAAAGCCCTTGTGATGGCATAAAGCCCTTGTGATGGCATAAAGCCCTTGTGATGGCATAAAGCCCTTGTGATGGCATAAAGCCCTTGTTGTGGCATAAAGCCCTTGTAACTTGTAATGGCATAAGCCCATGTAACTTGTAATGGCATAAAGCCCATGAAACTTGTAATGGCATAAGCCCATTTAACTTGTAATGGCATAAAGCCCATGAAACATGTAATGAGGATGATTTCAGTCTTCTTAAAGTATCAGTATGCAATAATGCACATAAGTTTCCCATGGCCTGATTACAAATTAATACAGGTGTCTCGCGAACAACTGGATAATAATAATCATAACAATTATTAACTGAGGCCACATAATAATATTAAACATTGCATGCGTGTCATAGGTTCTTGATGACCTCGGGTCCATAAGTAACACAATAGAATAATCTCAGTTTCATACAGATACTTGGCTTAAAGATGAACATAATTCTATTTATTCATTAAGAAACGACGTAGTTTGCTTATAGATAATAGAGAATTATTATTCGTTATTGATAGAACGAAGTCATTCCAAAGTCATACCGATATATGCCAATCTTTCAACGTTCACATTGACTTTCACTCATCATAATTGTTCATGTAACATGTTCGTGTAACACTTACAAGAAACAGAGCGTTAGTGATAATAATCATCAATAATAAATAAAATGTACATCTTCGTACTATTACTCACAGTGCATTGGTGGAGCATTTATTCCTCCCGAAGCGTGTCCTACACACATATGAAGTCACACATTAATTCTTTAAATCCTTTCCCCTAATTTTCTTTCTCAATTTAACATGATTTATAATGCCCATAACAAGGTTCATTCGTAAATTTTTAACATTATTGCAAAACATCTCAGAAATCCAATTAAACTTGTACACGTAGAACTCAACCCACCAATTCCATGATTCTATTTCCAATTTGAGCAAAATCATTCTTTATCATCACAAATTCATCTAGGGTTTCAAGAACATAAAGTTTTCCATAAAAAAATTCATACTTCTCATACCATGACCTTACATCCCAATTCCCTCCTTGATTATACATCTAGGGATTATACTCCATCACTTTAATCCATCAATTGAACCTTCAATGTTTCAAACTCAAAATTCCCAAAATCTCATAATTTCCTCTATATGCTCAAAATGAAAATTTATACATTTATACAATGAAAATACCTCAAATCTAACCATGGATGTAAGTATTGAAGAGAAATAGAACCCCTACCTCAATAATCAAGCAAAAGAGTGAGCTTGGAAAGAAGCCTTCGCAAATCCAAGTTCCAATCGGGTAAAAACATTAATCCTCCCTTGTTCTTCATCCTTGATGCCAAAAACCATGGTGGATCGTGATCAAAGTAAAGGAATTCAAGGGTTTGGGGGCTAGGGTTTCGGACATGGAAGAGAGGAAGGAAGAGGAAAGAAGAAAAACATCTAAAATGATCCAAAATCCCGTTTTTAAAGCTGCTGGTCCGAAAAACCCGCTCGAGCGCACATCTTCACGCTCGAGCGTACATGCATTCAGCACAGATGTCAAAACTTCAAATAGGCATAACTCTCCCATCCGGACTCCGTTTTAAGTCGTTCTTGTGCTCAAATTGAAGCCCCGAAAATAAGCTTTCCAATGGTTCCAACCTCACATCCAAATTCAAAGTGTGGAAAAAGAAAAGGGAAAAAGAGTGACGGCTGATCGTAGACAAATATTCAAACTAAAGTTTTTGATCCAATCTTACTCTACCATCATATTACCACCACAATCAAGACCCCAAAATAAAATAACGAAGTTCCAAATACACCCTACAATGTCAAGGGAAATCTTACTTCTCACGCTCGAGCGTCGCTTCAACCGCTCGAGCGCGCACAGACCAATAAAGCAGTCCGCTCGAGCGTCAACTTCTCCGCTCGAGCGGAGATTCACAACTCCCAGAATCTCAGGCCGTCTGCAAAATTGCTGAGAACCCCAAAAGTCCGCTCGAGCGGAGGGAAAAATTCTGGGTCGTCACATCCTTCCTGCCTTAAGAAATTTCGTCCTCGAAATTGAAGAAACCAAATAGAAGACAGTCCAAACATAAACGGAAACACACCCTGCAATGTTCCAAAACTAGATCCACACTTGGGATAGGATAGGGTCACAAATACTTTCGATCAACACATACATATCAGAATTTCAACGAGTAAGGAGCAACACTAACCATTTATAATCCCAAAGTCCATAATAACTTCTCAATTAACAACAAATTTTCAATTACACTTCACTTAACGGCATCATCAATTCTTTATTCCACTTGACATTAAAAAAAAAGAAAAAAAAAAACAAAAACAGTGATGACCATCATACAATTACTCCTTAAAAACAATTACGTAGAGGAGTTCCTACTTAACTTCAAGAGAGGCCAAACAAACATACCTTATGTTTTAGGATTTCTATACCCTCTTTCACTTTCTCATTTGCTCCCTAGAAGATCTGTGCTCTTCTTTTCAACCCTTATTCCTTACGTATGAAGACTTAGGTATACATATAGACAGTCATATATAAAAACATATAGGACAAAATCCAATCGTTAAATCATTCCGAAATTGTCATACTTAAGATTACATAAAATTATGCTAATCACAGATACATAATCAATTCAAATAATTAAACCTTTAATGCTTCCAATTCCTTATTCAATTATTCTAAGTATAACAGATACGTTTCTTGTTAAACAGATAGGCATCCTTAAACATCTTAACTGCTCAGGGGATTTCACCGTAAACATTTAAAGGTACAAAACAAGGACTGAAAACATGATTTATAAATTCCTACAGCATACATTAATTCCTTAAGTGAATCTTATAAGGCAATTTACTCGGTGGTACATGACCCTTACGATTACGTATAGTTCTCAAAACAACTTAATTACGTGGTCAAATAAAAATCCGATTTTGCATCATTGAACCAGATCTTATAACCTACCAAATAAGGTTCCGCCTAAGAGGCACGATATATTCCATTTCACCAGTCCCCAATACAGTGATAAGCTCAAAGTCATATTTCATTTCCGAAAACATATGAAAATCATATCGTTATGTGGAGTCAAAACCACATTTACTAATTGTTGACAAGATCGGAACGGTGGGAAGAAGAATTCCCATTATAAACACCTGATCATGCCGTCATAAGTTCAAATCTGCATAATATATACAGTTATCAAACAAAGCTAGAAATCGAATTCAAAATCTTACTTGATTAATCAATCATAACCATAAGGTATGATATTTTCCTCTGCTAACACTTTTTCTTGTCATAGCACAAATTAATTTGGCCTCTTTCCTTTTTTTTTTTTTTCTATCTTTCAAACGATTCTTCTTTTTCTTACTGGAAGACACGAGGTCAATCACATGGTTTCGTATTCACATCATAACTGCCATATAAGTGATATAGGACAATGTCATAATTGCTAACATTTGCATAGTTACACAGATAGTTCACAGGAATGATTTTCTCAATCTTAAATCACTTAATATACAAAAACAGAATTTGAATTCTTGCAGTAGCTTAGCTATTTACCGATCATTTCGTTTGACGTCGAAGTAGTCAATAGCTACTCTCTTTTTCTTTTTCTTTTTTGTCTCGTGTAAGTAGACACGCGATGTGGGTAAGGTCCTTTATATTATTCAATCATTTTTACACGAAATCCTGATCGCAAATTACAAGATACACGTAAACAATCAGATTACAGACTTCAAATCACAAATCATGGATTCCATAATCGATCTCGATTGCACATAAACGAAACAGATAAATAGAAACATATTCATACATATTCCTAGTTATACTTGAATCAAAAACAGAAATCAGAGTTTATGCTTGATCATAATCCACCCGTACAAGACCGTCGGTGGCACCATCTGTACAAGACCGTCGATGGCAAAACATATCTTGTAACATACTGAAACCATCATCATTCCTTAATTCGTAACATAACATATCAGAAAATAAAGCATTGCTTGTCATATCATGTCATTGTCATGCGCTTAACAAAATAGGATAATCAAAGTACATATCCCATTATTTTGTTTTTAAATCATAGGTCCATACAGTACCATAACAAGGAAGACATAACTGTATCATAAATATTCCATACTTAATAGTTAAGCAATTTGTAAATCATCTAAATAAATGATAGGTAACTACCAGTTCAAAATCAACCAAAAATTGCATGTGCATTACTCACCAATCACTTTCCCTTTTCATTTTGTCTAACCAACCCGAGGTGATCCTCTATCCTTATTTCCGTCATGCTCTACACAACAATCAATCAAAATATACACAAGGAATGTACAATAAACATGACTCATAATCGTTAACGTGAACAAATTACATTTACCGTTGCTATCCGTCTTTTCGTATGTACAAAGGATGTCATGCATGAAGCCTAAGTCTTTTCTAGACATCCTACAGCTCAATGGATCCGTGTGTGAGATAGCAACTCGTGCTCTGATACCACTTGTCACACCCAGAACTCGCCCCTAAAAGTTTGGGCATGACCACTTCAGAAAACGGACACATAAAGCCTGATGAATATAATCTATGGGGCTTGAACGGAAGCATTTAACAGTATATAATAGCGTAAAAAAAATAATAGTAATATCCATTGAGCTACCACTACCATGCCAGGATCACAAATAGAACATAATGCAGTTAAATATACAGTGACGTGCACCTGAAGATAACTATGTACATATACATATACGCCGATCTTAACAGACATTTAGGGTACAAATTAAAACTTTAGCAAAACTCCATAACTTGAACTATCAACATCTAAGAGCTTAGATACTTAGGGTTTGACAACTGGGTAACAAAAGCCACAGGTGAAGGTTGAATCTCCAGGTTGAGTGCCTACAGAAACAAACATAAAACAGA